AGGTCAATTTTAGCTGCAGATATGTGTGGTTGAATACTGCAGTGAAAGTTTAATGCGGCGTTGTTCAAGGGAGGGTTCGTTAACCTCCGCATATAGACTGTCTACCGGAGAGGTCCTAAAGGCTCTCAGGCCTTGGTGGTGGATAGAGTCTAATTTTTCTAAATTGCTTTTGAAGGCTCCACCATAGACAATGAAGCCGTAATCTAGTTTAGAGCGCACCAAAGATCTGTACAAGTGAAGTAGGGTAGTCTGATCCGCTCCCCACTCTGGATTTGATCGACTTTTAGCAAGTCAAGAGCCTTCAAACATTTGTCTTAAATATTTTATGTGTTGTAAGAATGTCGAGTGGCGGTCGAATATGAGTCCCAGGAATTTGGCCTCTTCTACTACCTTGATAGGGGTGCCATCTAAGGATAGGCATGGATCCTTGTGTGGTTTGTATTTACGACAAAGTGAATACAATTTGTTTTGGATTTTGAAAAACCTAAAGCCATTTTCGTTGGCCCAATTTGGATTTTGTTAAGGCAGAGTTGTAGCTGCCTTTCTATTGCGTGCATGTTCTTACCACGACATGAAATATTGAAATCATCCACGAAATGGGACCCGTCAACACAGCTGTTCAAAACGTTAGTGAGGCAGTTAATTTTGATGCTAAAAAGTGTGACAGACAGGATGCTGCCTTGAGGGACGCCCTGGTCTTGGTGGAAATAATCACACAATGTGGAACCTAGCCGTACTTGAAATTGTCTGTTGTTTAAAAACTGAGATATGAACTGAGGTAATCTGCCCCTCAATCTAAATTCATGTAAATCTTTTAAGAAACCATGTTTCCACGTTGTATCATATGCTTTTTCCAAGTCGAAATGATTCCAGACGTACCAGATGGTCAGTGGTACTTCGGTTCTTTCGGAAACCACATTGGAGGTCACTAGGAAGGTTATTGGCCTCCAAGTACCAGATTAATGGATTGTTGACCATGCGCTCCATGGTTTTGCAAACACAGCTAGTTAGTGATATAGGACGGTAGTTGAGGGGTTGGTATGATCCCGGTGGGGCTTTGGTATAGGGATGATAATGGCATTGTGCCACGAAGGAGGAAAGTTTCCGGTTGTCCAAATGTCATCAATTATATTGAGTAATGTTTCCAAACATGAATCAGGGAGGTGTTTCAGAAGCTGATAATGAATATCATCAGGTCCTGCTGCAGTGTCGTGAGCCTGCCCCAAGGCAGTACGTTGTTCATGGAGAGAAAAAGTTTCATTGTAATCCTGTCCATAATGAGGGTTAAAATTGACTGATTTCTTTTCTTGTTGGGGTTTGGTATTTCTGGAACTGAGGAGTATAATTTGATGAGGAGGAGTGGTTTGCTAAATTTTCGCCAAGTTTGTTTGCAATTTCAACTTTATTGGTTAAAAGGGGGTCACCATCTTTGAGATGGTGAACACTAGATTTGGATCCTTTGCCCTTAATCTTTTGAATCATGTTCAACATCTTGGACATGGATGTGCTGGAATTGATTTTGGACACATATTTCCTCGAAGATCTGCGTTTAGTTTGCTTAAAGGTACGTCTTTCCCTGGCATTTGGCATTTTAACAGCATTTAGGTTATTCACAGTGGGATGTTTCCGCCTTCTTCCTTGTTGGCAGTTTGCATCAAACCATTGTTTGCGTATGTGCGGGTTTGCAGAGGACTTAGGAATGGCTTTGTCTCCAACGACATGTAGGACGTCTGAAAATAGTTCCATGGGATCAGGAACATTCCTAAAATTGTCAGGTTTAAGATTTTCAGAACATAGGGTTTGGAATAATGGCTAATTGGCCTTACTAAAATTCCACCTTGTTGGAGGAGGTTCATCTGCGGGATTGATAGGAGTAAGAATTGTTGGGAAGTGGTCACTTCCACAAAGGTCATCGTGGACCGACCTTTCAAACTCGTTTAAAAGATTAGAATCTGTAAGTGATAGATCAAGAGCAGAGTATGTTCCAGTGGCAAGATGGAGATAAGTGTTTGATCCATTGTTGAAGATGCATAGATCATTATGTGAGAGAAAATCTTCAAGAATCTTCCCCTTGTTGTTTGTATCGGAATTCCCCCATAGGGAGTTATGTCCGTTCTAGTTGCCCATGATTATGCAGGGTTTTCGGAGTTGATCATACAAGTTCTGAAGATCTGCTAGGCGATAGTGGAGGAAGCAGCGTCATGTGGACAGCAAAAGATTGTACTACAGGTTGGTGTTAAGTGGAACAGGGCTATGAGGGATGCCCTGCCTCACCAGGATGGAAGTGCCTCCTGTAGCTTTGACACCGGGAGGAGAAAAGGAGTGGTAGGAACTGTACGGACGGATGTCAAATTTATCAGTCCCTTTCAGGTAGGTTCTTGGAGACAAAACGTGGATGGTTTGAAGTCTTGAATCAATAACTGTAATTCGTTATAATTATTCTTAAGTCCTCTACAATTCCATTGAATCAATGTTTTGTGGATTCATGGTGATTCCACTGGTGACATGTCTCGTGAACGTGAGAAAACGTTTGATGAACTCCTATTGGTGTCAGGTAGAGATGGTGTGACCTCCCTATCCAGAGGGCCAAAGGAGTTATGGACCTCGACGGGGTCCTCTGAAGGAGAGGTGGCCTTTGGTTTTGTGTTTGGCAGTTGCTCAAGCTGCTTTAGTCTCTGTAGTTTCTTTTTTTCCCCTTTTTTGGTGCGCAGTTTCTGTTTCTAGTTTTGGCATTTGTTCTGGTGGTTATGATTCAGAAGTTTTGGCTTTGAAGATGGCGTGGCTGAGATGGTCTGAGTTGAGTTGAGTTGGCTGAGGAAGACATGACCCATGTCAGATCGGTCTGACACGAGAAAGTTTCAGCAGTGATAGAAGGACGGGAGACAGCACGAGTAGGTGATGGTTGAAGGGGCTACAGTTAAACTTGCAACCCTCTTCTTAGCTTCATGAAAGGAGACAATTTCTTTGTGCTTGATCTTTATGATCTCTGATTCACGTTGCCATACGGGACAACATTTGGAGGAAGCCATATGGTTACCACCGCTGTTTGGACTTCCATAGAACAGTCATTGCTCTCATGCTTGTCACCACAGCGGTAACAAACAGCAGAGGAACGACAGGACTTTGATCCTTGTCCAAACTTTTGGCACTTGTAGCACCGGAGTGGATTAGGTACATACACCTCCACACCAATGCTGCAATAACCGGCTCTAATAGTTTCAGGAATCTTCGATCGGGCGAACGTAAAGAGGTAGGTGTTTGTGGGTTGAACCACACCGTCCTTCTTGATAGTGAATCTCTTCACAGCTGTGACAGACTGCTGGTTAAGTTCCTAGACAATTTGTTCCTCAGTCATGTCAGACACTGAGCTCTGTCCCGTACAATGCCTCTACACGTGTTCAGTGTTTTGGCGGCTGAGACAGCAACCTTTACATTTACAAACTCTTGTAATTTCAGTAGATTCAAGGATTGCTGTCTCCCAGCACATACTACTAGTAGAGAACTGGACCAGAGCTTTGTGACATTGGCAACCTCTCCGCAGGTACCAGCTATACCCTTGGAGACTGCAAATGGGTTCACTTGCCAAGGCTGCTTGTCACAAGCTTCGATGATAAAAAAAAATGTGGGCAGTAATCGGGTCGAATGGGCATACCCTCGTCAGATGAGGAATTGTCAGAGTCCATATGTCTTCATTTTGAACCAGGGTATTGGAAAGCCAATGTCGTAAGTAATGTGGTTTGGCATCCCCTCTCGCCACCCACCATGGAGTGTCAACAGGGACGATCTTATATTGCAGCGGATCTCGAAAGCTGCAAAGACCAGGGATAAGGGGGGTGTTATACTCCAGCGAATTTGACATGAAATGCTCTAGCTGTCTACCAGATTAAAGGTCAGGATGGTTCGGCCCATGACAATCAATTGGAGACGTACAGAAATCGGAGGTCAGCATCACCAGATTGGCCCATGAGCCACCGTCTTCTGTGCATGGGTCTGCAAGGCTAATTTGTTTTGGCAGAATATCAGTTAACATTTTGAACATGGCCAAAAGTGTTATGTAATACCAAATTTGGTATAAACATTCCATGCACAGGCCAAGGCATGACCAGCCCAATGGTAGAATCGGGCCTATTCTACCACCCGTCTAGGCAACGTTAGGGTCGAAGTGGTGTGTTGGATTATTGAACACTATTGCCAGTTCCGTCATCCTCAACCACCAGACTCCCCTTCCTCTGCCAACACAGGGACGCAACCCACAGCAAATGGGTTGCCCAATTTGGTCGCTAAGAGCCATTTGCGTTACCCAGCACCCACCACGAGGAGGTTGCTCTTCAAGGGTGCCTTTCCAGTATAATTATACCTTGGTCATGGATACCAATAGCTTGCCACTGTGTAATATCTGAGAGTCAACATCCTACCGTGTCAAAGAAGTTAATTTTCATACTGTCATCTTTTAAACAAGCTCAGAAAACCCTGGTGCACATATTGTAATTGTGAACTTTATGCCCCAGTGTTCTGGCAGCTTCGACCACGTGAACATGCCACGCATAGCTTCAAGATCATGTGTGAAGCACATGCTTTAAATGTGCATTCCTGTGTGCTGGTGTATGATTGCCTATTTTGGGCAAAAATTTCAAACTTTGCCCATGTATTGAAGTAGTGTTGAATTAATGCACGTGTGTAAATGGTACCTCTCACACCACAGTTCTGTTTAGGTGATCTGTTTTACCAGAATGCATACGGTAATTTGTTGACTGTTTCACAAAAAAGCAAATTTATTTATTCAGACACCAACCTTGCAGTCTGTGTTATTGGGATTTCTCCAGAGTTTGACAACTGTAGAGTTAAAAATACTGAAAAGGTAAAAACATCCTGTAATTCATCTCCCTGATGTTTCAAGGGTATGTGTGTAACTTTCGAACTTCAAACTCTGACCCAGCAATCAATGGACATATATAACACATTAATAACTGTACATGTAATTTCAAGTCAACATTCTAGAATGCAAATCATGAACTGTTTATTCACATACCTTATAAAATACATTCTCGACAAAATCAGTTTCAAATCGAAACCCTTATCTCACTAACAAAATCGTGATGACACATCAATAAAACAGTGTGGAACTTTTATATCTTATTATAATTATCCTTGTAATATCTGAGAAGGTAACTCATATTCAAAAGAGCTGGTTTAACTCTGATATTCTCACAAGTCAAACAATTTCCTTACTGCTTAATGCAACATGTAATATTTAATGTATGTGAATATTGGTGTGTTGAGAATCAGTGATCGATATTATGAGCAACAACAGATGATGTCTGGGTCTGAAGAAACGCAGTCAACCAAGTCACTGTGTTTGATCTTCTTATTTATTTAATATTCAGGGCATATTCAACACAGATTCTCTACAAAGAGCAAATACTAAAGAACTACTACTACAACTACAACTACTACTTGGCACGTCATGTGGAAATGCAGGTTGCCAGACTCTTACAGCACCATCTCATAGGGTTGACACCACTTCAGGATGTTATGTTTGTCTTGAGGTTACTTGAATGTCCAAATCCTCTTCCACAATCACTACATTGGACAAGTCAAATGCCACTTTGATAACCCAACTAGGTGTACGTCCCCGCTCCTTGCTTTCCCAAACCACTTCACCTAAGAGCCTTGACACATAATGATACAAAGCGTGTTACTGTATCTCATGTGAGTAATTTTCCCCCCACTTGACACACTATTCAGATTCGACACTAGTGAGTGTGAGTTGTAGTTTTTACGCCACTTTTATCAATATTCCAGCAATATCACGGCTTGGGTAACCAGAAAAGGGCTTCCGACATTGTAATCATGTGGGGAATCAAACCCTGGTCTTTCAGCGTGACGAGCGAACACTTTAACCACTAGGCTCCCCGACACCAGAGACACTCAAGATTATCTGATTGTGAAAATGTCCTCCCCCATCCCCTTCAAGGTTTTTAGGGATGTCACGATACATAAGTTTCATGAATCGATACCTATCACAATACCCATCTTACGATTTGATACGTATCACAATACCTATTTTAGCGGCATTATTGCATAAACTTAGTTACATTTTGAACATTAATATTTCATATTTTATAATTGTCCATGAAAAGATCAACATTTTTTATTCTCATAGATTAAAAAGTTCTAATTTCCCATCATTGTGCATGAAAAATAATCATTTATAACTCTCATAACATAAAAAAACATGGTACATATTTAAACCTATACTTTAAAACTAAATATCAATACAGTTTTGAATGTATCAATAGATGTATCGTCTTAGAAAAAGTATCGATGTATCGTGGGGATTCGTGGCATCCCTAAAGGTTTTGAACAGCATGACGTGTGTCTCTAGGTTCACTCACCACAGTGGGAAACTTCATGTGTTTTGCAGCTTACTAGATTATTTCGACTGTTGTGAATGCATACACTCAGCAGTATTCCAACTACATTATGGTGGCTGGTGAATAATCAAGTCAGACAGTCCATTAATTGACATCATGAGCTTGTACATATTCAAATGTCTTCCAAGGATTGACTGATTTTTGTTTAACGCCCCACTCAGCAATATTCCAGCTATATGGTGGCAGTCAGTAAATAATAGAGTCTGGACCAGACAATCCACTGATCAACAGCATGTGTGAGTGAGTGAATATGGTTTTACCCTGCTTTGAGCAATATTCCAGCAATATCACGGCAGGGGACACCAGAAATGGGCTCTACACATTGTACTGATGTAGGGAAGGACACATTGTAGCCATGTGAGGAATTGAACCCGGGTCTTCAGCATGACAAGCGAACGCTTTAACCAGTAGGCTACCCCACCGACCCTGAACAGCACGAGCATCATACTACGCAACTGAGATAAGTTGATACATGTCAACCATGTCAACGAGTCTGACCACCCGATCCTGATAGTCACCTGTTACGACAAGCATGGGTTCTAACTTGGATCTTCTTGAGCGTGTTCCAAGGAGGTCAGTGGACGGAAAAGGCTTAAATTCAGCATGACGCACAGAAGAGCAGCACACAAGTTACATCCTGCTTTCCCAAACTGGTATGGTAGTGGGGTTCTCGTGTGCCAGGCCACTTGCTTCCTGAAATGCTTCCTCACATTCATTGTACCAGTTAGGACCAGTCAGGTGGTGTGGGGTAGCCTTGTGGTTAAAGTGTTCACTCGCCACGCTGAAGCACAGACCCTCGTGTCTTTGCGAAGGTTAAAGATTTAAAAAAAATATTTTTGTTTGAGATGACCCCCAACTTGAAATGCTACTCAGTACAATACATTATGACAAGAATAATGTATTGTACTGTGAAGCATTTCGAGTCGGGGGGTCATCTCATAAAAATATTATTTTAATTTTTTAATCCTCGCAAAGACATGAGGGCCTGTGCATCGAAGACCTGGATTTGCTTCCCTACATCAGTACAATGTGTAGAGTCCATTTCTTGTGTCCCCAGCCGTGATATTGCTGGAATATTGCTAAAAGCAGAGTAAAACCAAACCCGATCACTCACAAGGGCCAGTCAACACCATGAGTAGCCAAATGTCTCTTTCGGTGAAATGGATGTGTAAATTCTTTCTCGCACAGGAAACAAGGAAACGGTTTGATTCCACTGTGCATGGCTACGTGTAGTCTCATATGGTGAACATCTGTAAATGTTTTCCCACAGTCTGTACAAGAATAACGTTTTTCTCCACTGTGCTCCAGCATGTGTCGGCCTTTCCAACCCTGATTCTGTCCATGTTTCTGTGGGTTATCACAGGAGTTATTGTTCTGTGTGTCAGTATTCGGGTCCTGACCTTCTATTTCTCCAATAATGTTGGTTGTGTTAGTACCATGTTCTATGTTCCTCAACTGAGCTGACTTTTCTCCACTGTGCGACAGCTTGTAGTGTCTCTTCAATCCTACAAGTGTTGCAAATGTTCTCCCACACTCTGTACATGGATCAGGATTGACCAAATGATTTCTCATATGTTTCTTCAGGCAAGCTGACAGTGCAAATGTTTCCCCACATTCTCCGCACAAATAAGTGTTTTTTTCAGCATGAATCTTCATGTGTTTCCTCTTTGAAGAAAGCTCGTTGAATTTTTTGAAACAAAACCTGCAAAAAGTGGAATAAGGTTTTCGTTCAACGTGGACTAGCAAGTGTTCTTGAAGGTCACTTGGACGTGCAAATACTTTCTCGCACTCCTTACATGGAAAAGACTTGAGTTTTCTGAGGCACCTGTGTGCCTTCAGTTCACGTCTTGTACTGTAATCCTTCCCACATCTACGACAGTGTCGGCGTTTCCGACCCTGATTCTGTCCATGTTTCTGGGGGTTATTGGTTTCTGTTGATGTCCCCTCAACTCCGTTGTTTCTGTCTTCATTGATGACAGTGTCCTGGATGTTTACTTCAGGACAGTCTCTGTTCTGTTCATGGCTCTCTCCCTCCCCTAAAATACCAGACATGTTACTGCTCTGAGCGTCTGTGTTCTCGTTCTGGTTCACAGTCTCCTCCACAATATCAAGGGCATTAATGCTCTGTGTGTCTGTGTTCTCGTTCTGGTTCACAGTCTCCTCCACAATATCAAGGGCATTAATGTTCTGTGTGTCTGTGTTCTGGTTCTGGTTCAAAGTCTCTTCAACAATATCAAGGGCATTAATGTTCTGTGTGTCTGTGTTCTGGTTCTGGTTCAAAGTCTCTTCAACAATATCACGGGTGTTAATGTTCTGGGTGTCTGTGTTCTGGTTCTGGTTCAAAGTCTCTTCAACAATATCGCGGGTGTTGATGTTCTGGGTGTCCGTGTTCTGGTTCTGAGTCTCTATCGCCTCAACAATATCACGATTGTCAGTGTTCTCGTTCTGGTTCACAGTCTCCTCCACAACATCACAGGAGTTATTGTTCTGTGTGTCAGTATTCTGGTCCTGACCTTCTATTTCTCCAATAATGTTGGTTGTCTTAGTACCATGTTCCATGTTCCTCAACTGAGCTGACAGATGTCCTCCATGCATCTTCTTCAGATGTTCCAACAACAACACCACGGAGGAGAACCCAAGGTCACATCTGTCACATGGGTAACCATCTGCAAAATCATTTTTATACAATATGAATATCTGGAGCAGGAAGGTTTCTCACATACTCCAACATGGGCATGTATCTCTCAAGGAAAAATACAATGAGAAAAATGTAACACTTGGTCCTTTGGTACAGACATGGCCTGTGAATAAGAGTGAGTTTGTATGGTTTTACGCCGCTTTTAGCAATATTTCAGTAATATCACGGCGGGGGACACCAGAAAAGGGCTTCACACATTCTACCCATGTAGGAATCGAACCCAGGTCTTCAGTGTGACGAGCAGACGCTTTAACCACTAGGCTACCTACCTACCTACCCTAAAATTTAAACACAGTGTAATCAGAACCACAACATTTTTTATATTTGGCCTGAGTTGTTAAGACTTGATAAAAAATATAAATCATGTCATAACCTATTTTAGTGGCATGAGACACCTTATATGTGAATGTAAATTGCATTGGTTTGCTGATAGAGGTAAGATGAACATCCTCCTGGTATCTTCACTCACCCACAGAATGCTCTCAGTCTGCACCTGATCGTCTATGCAGTTTTTCGGAGGTCTCACCTGAAATATAGACATTATGAAAATGAATATTTTGGGATTAACCAAATAACGTCTGACCCCAAATGCTTAAAACAACCATATGCTTTATGTTACTACGAAAGAGCAAATACCTTAAAAACATTACAGTTATTCTTATAGAAGAACTTTTCATCAAGATTGCTGAGAATTACAAAGAAATCCTAAAAATTCAGAGGATTTAGTTCTTGAGATTTCTGAAATGGCATTGCCGTTATTATCTATAAATAATGTGCTTTCATTTGGAAAAAAACTCACAACCAAATAATCTGTACATTGTGACTTATGGCATACATTTTCAAAATGTTAATGCTTTTAAAAAACAACAACTGAAGTTTCCATTTCACAAGGATGAGCAAAACATTGCTAGATGTCATTCAGCTGGAATATTGATGTGCATGGCATTAAGCAATAAACACATAAAGACAAACTCAGATTACTAAGATCAACATTCTTAGGTCTGTGTGAATTACACTTGGAGGAGATAGACTGCAGCTAATTGAATGTTGATGACCATTCAATACACAAAATTGGGGCTGTGGGGAAGATTCATGGTTAAAGCGTTCGCTCATCACACCAAAGAATAGGGTTCGATTCCTTACATGGGTGCAATGTGGAAAGTCCATTTCTGGTTTCCCCTGCTGTGAAATTGCTGGAATATTGCTAAAAATGACTCACATAGAAAACTCGAGTGAGTGAGTTTAGTTTTACACAGCTCTTAGCAATATTCCAGCAATATCATGGCGGGGGACACCAGGAATGAGCTTCACACAATGTACTCATGTGGGGAATCAAACCCGGGTCTTCGGCATGACAAGCGAGCACTAGAAAACTAGAGAATGAGTGAGTGAGTGAGTTTAGTCTTATGCCTCCAGGGGTTAAAAAATCCCATCGCCCGATGCCCGGGACAAGTCAGTTTTCATTTTGGGCGATCAAATAATGGTATCCTACTTGCTTAAGGTTTCATTTCATATCTACTCAAAATGTAGCTTTTTTTAACTTTGACATGATGTGAACAAAATGAAGTAATTTTCGCAATGATATTAACATAGAGTTATCTGTCTTTGCTATTTATAACTTCTCGATAAATAGTCCAGTAAACATTAACATCAAATACCATGTTGATTTATTCTTTCATAATTACATCAACACGATTATGCCATAAAAATCAGGGCAAGTGGAAAATTAGTCAGGACAAGTTACTTTCTTAAAGTCACTTGCCCTGTGGCAAGTGGCTTTTTACAAAATAAATTGAACCCCTGGCCTCTTTTAGCAATATTCCAGCAATATCACGGCGGGGGAAACCAGAAATGGGCTTTACACATTGTACCCAGTTGGTGGTTGTTGAGATGTCATGTCAAAGCTTATCATCACGTATTCATGGGTTTCCCACTCAGACCGAGCAGGCGATTTCATGGTTTATCCCACTAGTCAACTGTGAGAGTTTGTAGGACATGACCTGTACCCTCGACTAACAACTACTCTCTGAAATCAACATATTTTACAGAAAAAACCAGTTCATAATACAAAAAATAATAAGGGGGTTTCTTGAACAGACATGTTTCAGTGTCTGTATGACAGACTAAGATTCGGACAGAGACATTCAGACTTACGCAGCCTTTTTCCAAACCATAAAGTAGACAAACCATAGATCTATATAAAATCACATATGTTATGCTAGTATTTGACACCTGATTCTATCAGATGTCATATTTGCGATAGATTGTGCTACTCAGGGTGAGAGAAGTGAAGCTTAAGAAACTTTTCACCCCTGAAACGTTCTTCATTTCCCGAAACTGTGGAAATCTAGACTTGCCACATATTCTAGATTTGCATGGACTTGGAAATATTTGTTTCAGGGTCTGAATGACAAACTACTTGTGCAACAGAGACTATGGGGTTATGACTACTGATAGATATTTATTACCCTACCTAACTAACATCATCAATAATTACAATACTTGCGTTATAACAGTTATAAAGCCCACCCCTCAATATCACAATTTCAAATATAAATAGAACTCTCTCAAATAAATAAATAAATAAATAAAAATAAATAGAATACAGGGATTATAATTATTGCACCATATTCATGCTGTTTAAAACTTACCCCACATGCGACTTCGGTTTCAGACGTTTTGGAATGGACTGTTTTGTATGCAGTGTTCACAAATGGTGTTTCAAAGTAACAGGACATTGGGTCCTGTAAGTTTTAGATGTCTGTCTGACCCATTGAAAATTCACAGGACCCATGGAATAAAATTAAACACACATTTCAGATTTAATATTTCTTATAATTGACATTGAAATTATTAACAAACATAAGATTTATAAACAGCAAACAAGTGTCACCTGTCACATAAAACTTCAGTCAGAGTCATTGTGAAATATACAGTCAGACACTGGGGCCGGCGGGTTGTAGACTTCTGTCAGACCGTCGGCGAATCTGCCAGATTTGTCAGAGGGTCAGACGCTAATCGTGAACACTGGTATGCTATATTTTTCAGCTGCAACAGGGTGTAAGTTCCAAGGACATGCATGAATTCATCAATAAAGTAAAGCATGAATATGATTGTAAAGTTTTACCAGATCACCAAGGGAAAAGTCGATTTCAAAGCAGGCCATATCTTTCACCAATGAACAAACATGACAGGATGAACACAAACACGGGCATCGCATGTCGGGGAGACCGATTTGCTCGATATGGACACGTGCATCATACTACGTAGGTCTAATCTACTGTTGTAAATAAACACGTATTATAATACCTGCTCGAAACGGACACTTTATGTGTAAGGTTCCCCTCGGGGCACACGTAAACAAACCATGGGAAGGCTTACTCCGTTTGGATTGAAGCCAAGACTGCCAAAACACAAAACGGCAATTTCAAGTTGCGGTAAAAACGGCCATGAATACGTTCATATGTGTAGATCTCATGTCTGATATTCTAATTTAATTTTCTTCACGTTCAAAATTGGATAATTTTCGCAAAGCGATTTTGAATGTCTGCATATTTTTGTGCAAGTATAAGGAAAGTTTGCATAAAAGGATGATCAGTATGATAGACAGACTGTTGAGTGAGTGAGTTTAGCTTTATTCCGCACTCAGCAATATTCCAGCTACTAGTAATGTAGTATATGGCGGCGGTCTGTAAACAATCGAGTCTGGACCAGACAATCCAGTGATCAACAGTATGAGCATCGGGAACCAGTCTATTTGCCCCAGCCACAAAATGACCCAGCACATTTGGTCAAAATGCCCCGGATTTTTGGTCAAATTGCCCCAGGAGGGGTAGGCCTACTCGAAATGTATTAAAGTGATTTAATAGTATTTCCATTTCATAGTTGACGCCAACTCTTTCCATTTCATAGCTGCTTTTTAATCAAAATATATATGCTATATATGTATTTAGGGTTAGGTCAATGACATTTCAAATAACTTTTACTTTATGCAAGTTTATGTTATGCACAGTTGCTTTTTTCCCGTTGGTATAATATATTATATCTCAATTCAGCAAACTCGAATACTCCACATTGTTTACCACGGTCTTTAATTAGTCCGAGATGAACTGAAAACATGTGTGGACTCGTCGGTCATCTGTGCCGCTGTATATTTCACTACAATTTCACTTTTAGCAATATCACGACGGGGACAACAGAAATTGTATTCACACATTGTGCCCAGTGCAAGTTCATCATGATTCTGAAATAAACGTGAATAATGCACCTGTGCAAAACAGGTAAAATACAACACGGCATGTATGTATGTGTAGCCTACAAACATCACGCTCATCCACCGAGTAGCACTGACGTAAGTACATAACCAATAATCCAACGGAACTTCTTGTGCTTACATTCTTGTGTACTCCCCAGGGAGTTGAGACTGATAATACGATGTGCCGTTGAGACTGACATCCAATGATCGAGGGAAAATATACCAGCGCCTTGAGCATGCACTAGTTGCGCTATATAAGTATCCTATAATAATAAAATAATAATACGTTTCCGGTCTTATTACGTAGGCTTTACGCCATTCATTTACCACTACTACACTGAAAAGTATATTGATTCCAGAATATAATGCGGCCTTAAGGGGTTTAACGTCGTACTTAAGAGTATTTCGCTCTTATGACGACGTGATGCGTGTGTATGTGTGGCTGCTTGTACTAGCCCTACTCACTAGCCCACTGAGATACCATGCCGCAGTGAAGCATGAATACCCCACTCAGACACATTATACTGACTCCGAGCCGACCAGTCCTTGTCGTACCCACTAATGCCGAGCGCCAGTCAGGGACCAACTAGTACCATATTTTAACGTTTTTAGGTATGACTCGGTCGGGGATCGAACCTTCCGCTCTCCGGGCGGACGCTCTAACCACTATACCACGGAGGCGGTTCATAATTTATGGCTAGGGAGTTTGGGTGTGGGTGTGGGTGTGATGTTGATTTATATGGAGAAAATACCCACCCCCAACCCCCTCTCCCTCCAGTACATGTGTACAAAATTCATGACTCCTCAACTCTTGGAGAAGGGACATTATGTGATTTACCTGTCCATTGAAATGTGAGTGAGTTTACTTTTATGCCCATGGCCATATCATGTAGATGGTGCATGTCCTTGTCACAATCCCATGAGTAAAATGTAAATGTCAACTCCACTGAAATGTACATAATAATGCCCATGGCCATATCATGTAGATGGTGCATGTCCTTGTCACAATCCCATGAGTAAAATGTAAATGTCAACTCCACTGAAATGTACATAATAATGCCCATGGCCATATCATGTAGATGGTGCATGTCCTCGTCACAATCCCATGAGTACAATGTAAATGTCAACTCCACTGAAATGTACATAAGAATGCCCATGGTCATATCATGTAGATGGTGCATGTCCTCGTCACAATCCCATGAGTACAATGTAAATGTCAACTCCACTGAAATGTACATAATAATGCCCATGGTCATATCATGTAGATGGTGCATGTCCTTGTCACAATCCCATGAGTAAAATGTAAATGTTAGTTGCATCAACAAGGAGTGTTGGTATCTGGAAGGGTTCTTGAAGACATGTGATGTGTAATTCACCCATCTACTCAATTTACTTTCCAGGCTGATGTTGCTGATATCCTGTAGATGGTGTATGCTAGGGTTGTGTGTGTGAGGGAGTGTAGTTTTATGCTGCTAATAGCAATATCCCAGCAATTCCTGTAATATTCCAGAACCTGTGTCTTCTATGTGATGAGCGAATGATTTTATCACAAGGCTACCCCACCGCCCCTGTGTAGATGACATGATAAAAGAAGGCCTTCAACTGCCACGAATAACGAGCTTTTGTTTGTTGCATAACACCGCGATCAGCAATATTCCAGCTATATGGCGGCAGTCTGTAAATAAATTGAGTCTGGACCAGACAATCTCGTGATCAGCAGCATGGCTCAATCGATCAATTGGGAACCGATGATATGTGTCAACCAAGCCAGCGAGCCTAACCATCCCATCCTGTAACTCGCCTCTTACGACAAGCATGGGTTATTGGAGACTACTACCCCGGATCTTCACAAGTCTGACAGCATAAAAGATAAGGAGACAAGTATATAATGTATACTGACATATCATATTTATTGTACCAAACCCCACATCAAAATATTTCTAAATGGATAACTTGTAATGGGCCTGATGAAAAAACATTGTTGACGTGTACCATAACCACACAAGAACAATAATAAACATGATTTCTGATTGATTAACTATTTATAAATGTACCCAGTGTGAATATTCATGTAAAGGGGGATTCTGCAACATTGTTGGAATAACAGTCAAATTGAAATCCGTCAACTTCGTCAAAATCAGATTTTGTACTCTGACAAGTCTGTCTGCATCATGGTGAAGATCAGAGAACCTCTCATAAGCAATTTTCAACCACCCAAATAAAGAAACCATGAACGGGTCCCTGAAGCAACCAGGTTTCAGATTTCTAAACTAGTTAAGGTATGACTTTCAACACCTACTGCAACAGTAAATCCCGACCACATCAGCTGTGCTTGGTTGGTTGGTTTGCTGTTTAACACCACACTCAGCAATATTCCAGCTATATGGCGGGGGTCTGTAAACAAGGAGTCTGCACCAGACAATCAAGTGATCAACAACATAAGCATCAATCAACGCAATTGGGATACGATGACATGTGTCAACCAAGTCAGCGACCCTAACCACCCGATCCTGTTAGTGGTATCTTACGACAAGCATGGGTTACTGAAGACCAATCCTAACCCAGATCTTCAGGGGCATCTGATGCTAAGACTTTCACCAACTACTCCAACAGTAAATCCCAACTCCACTACATCAGCTATGACAGCTCATGTCTGCAGGTTCCCCGACCGAGTAAAAGCTTTTCCACACTGATTACACTGATGTGGCCAATCTCCACTGTTTACTATTTACTCAGTAATTTTTATCTCTGCCAAATGAAAAAAGCAGCCAATCTTTTCTATTTTGATGCCACGGTGCTCACAAATGACAGGATATCTAACATTATTTTCATGACACTGAAATAAGACGTGTTTGTCTGAATATGGCGCTCACTTGTACCTAGAGTTTTGGAATAATTGATGCTGATTTGAGAGTTCAACTGATCAGCCTTCCTACAGACGTGTTCCCAGATCTACAAGCAGAGGTGGCTGTGTCAGATACAGATTTGATTTTAATGAGATTGTAAAACTTCACGTCAGGATTCTCTCTGCACAGCACACAAGTAAATACACATATAAGACAGAATCATCAAGTCATGTTACAACACTTAGCTGCCCACCAACGTTTCCTGTCATGTTTGTTTGCTGTTTAACACCACACTCAGCAATATTCCAGCTATATGGCGGTGGTCTGTAAAAAAGCAAGTCTGGACCAGACAATCCAGTGATCAACAGCATGAGCAATGACCTCGTATGGATACAATGACATGTGTCACCAAGTCATTTAGCCTGACCATCCATATATGGTCGCCTCTTACGACAAGCAAGGATTGCTGAAGACCAATTCTAACACAGATCTTCACAGACCCACGTGTGTTTGAAGGGAACATGCACTTACACTGGCTATTGTCAACTATTATCACAAGAGCTGGGAAAAGTACCAAATGTGGACCCGATCCCATGGGTTGCCTGAAGATGAATTCTAACCAGATCTTCCTGAGTCACTTCCCCTAATGTCTCATGGCAGACAAACTGATGCTACGACCTTCAACACCTACAGCAGCAGTAAATCCCAACTAAACTACATCAACTGTGAGAGCGCATGTGTGTCTGCAGGTTCCCTGACTGAGTAAAAGCTTTTCCACACTGATTACACTGATATGGGCGATCTCCACTATGACACCTCATGTGTACATGCAGGTGACTTGACGTTGTGAAAGCCTTCTCACAAACAGTGCACTGATGAGGCCGAATACCGGTGTGACATCTCAAATGTTTCTGCAGACCACCTGACTCTGAAAAGGTTTTCTCGCATACAGTACACTGGTATGGCTTTTCACCACTGTGACACCTCATGTGTCGCTGCAGGTCACCAGATGTTGTGAACGCCTTCTCACACTCACTGCACTGATAAGGCTTGACTCCATTGTGACACCTGATGTGTCTTTGAAGGTCGCTGGATTTAGAAAATGCCTTCCCACACTCGTTACATGGGAAAGGCTTGACACCAGTGTGGCTCCTTAAGTGTGTCTGTAGGTTACCTGACTGTCTAAACGATTTACCACACACTGTACATCGATAGGGCCAGATACCAGAGTGACACATCATGTGTTTCTGAAGGTAGCTTGACAATGGAAACGCCTTTCCGCACTCAGTACATTCAAAAGGCTTGGCTCCACTGTGACAACTCATGTGTGCTTGAAGGTTACTCGGCCGCGTGAATGTCTTGTCGCATTCACTACACTGATGAGGCTTGACATCGCTGTGACACCTCATGTGAGAGGTCAGGTCGCCTGACGTTATAAACGTTTTCCCACATTCACCACACAGATAAGGCCTGACAGCAGTGTGACTCTTCATGTGTGTCTTCAGATCACTTGTTTCTGCAAATGCTTTCCCACACTCGCTACACTTATAAGGCTTGACGCCTATGTGACATCTTAGGTGCTTTTGCAAGTAACTTGATCGAGTAAACGTCTTATCACACTCACTGCAGGGATAAGGTCTCACTCCGCTGTGAAGTAACATGTGTCTTTGAAGGTCGCTGGATTGTGTAAACGCTTTCCCGCACTCCCCACATGGAAAAGGCTTAACTCCACTGTGATATTTCATGTGCATCTTCAGGTGACTTAATTGTTTGAATTCCTTCCCACACTGACCGCACTGATAGCGCCGGACTCCAGGGGAACCGTTGTTCTGTTTCATGGGAACCATCGATGCCCCATCACCCCCAGCACTACTGACACTTTCAGTTCTGTTGTCGCCATGGTTACTGTTCTGGTTCTCCATTTCCTTTCCAAGGTCGGAGCTGTTAATGCCCTGAGTGTTCACTATGAACCGCAACTGAGCTGTCAGTTTTCCTTTATGCATTTTCTTCAGATGTTTCCACAAGAACACCACGGATGAGAACCCAAGGTCACAGTTGTCACACGGGTAGCTTTCTGGAAAGAGATTTGCAAAATATATACCAATACATAAGAATGGTATAAATAGCTAGAAAGCTTTAAAATATACCACCCTTCAAAAGTTTAGACTCACTACCAGTATAAAAGTAACCGCTTACTTCAGTCAACTGTTTTTGCAAAATATTCCATACTGTTTAAAGGTACTGTTTTACACATGAATTGATGTATTGTAAAACAAATTCGTAATGTTGAGAAGATTATTGTCATGAGTTCAATAAATGATGAAACTCAGTGAAAATTGGCGAATTCTTAACAACTTTACACCATAACCCAGCAGTTCACATGCACGATATTTGCACATGCTTTTCAATAATTTGCATGATGCTTGTGCAATTCATATGCATAAGGTTTGCAGTTGGTTCCCCCAAGAATCTGATCATTGCCCTCAATTTAATACCTAAATTGTGACCAAAACAAAACAAATATAATTACACATTTTCAAACTCACCTAATTTATAATAACCCCTTATGTTTAAAAATTTCACAGGTGACTTGAGGTGAGGTGAGGTGAAATTGGGTTTAACACCGTGCTTGAGAATATTTCGCTCATATGACGACGTGCATGCGTGTGTATGTGTATGTGCGGCTGCTTGTACTAGCCCAGACTGAAGCTGGTTTTATAGTGCTAGCCCACTGAGATACCATGCCGCAGTGAAGCATGAATACCCCACCCAGACACATTATACTGACTCCGAGCTGACCAGTCCTTGTTGTACCCATTAATGCCGAGCGCCAGGCAGGGACCAAAAAGTACCATATTTTAACGTCTTTTGGTATGACGTGGCCGGGGATCGAACCCGCGGCCTTCCACTCTCCAGGCGGACGCTCTAACCACTACACCACGGAGGCAGTCACAGGTGACTTGAAGTTCACCACCATCAGGACCAAAGCTAAATCCAGGACACTCCAGGTCTGTGAGAGTGACAGTTTGCTGAGAGCATAATTTACGGCTATCACTGGTGCTGACATGCTATCTACGTTAACAGATTATTCTTTGTGTAAGTGGGGGCGATGGGTTAGCCTTGTGGTTAAAGCGTTTGATCGTCATGCATGGGTAAAATGTGTAAAGCCCATTTCCAGTGTCCCCCGGTGTGATATTGCTGGAAAATTGCTTAAGCGTTGTAAAACTATACTCACTCACTCTTTGCGTAAGTGCTCAACTACTATGCTATAGATCACATGTCATGGACCAAGAATATTTTTGGATCTTTTAAATGTAGGTTTAAGGCATACAAAACACATTTTATGATCTCCATGTATTTTGTTCAGTACATCTTGAACTGGTTACCTTGACTCTGTGGTAGTTTGAGTTGTCTCTCAATACTGAGTTCCTTCCCATACTTGTGTCCATACCATACAAGCAGCTCGGAACCCACACCAATCTCCTTGTACACTCTGTAGTAGATATGACCTTTGTATTGAAATGTTGTCAGATTCTGTTCCTCCTCTGTACGTGCACAGTTGACATATCTCATCCAGTTGGCCGTGCTGCAGTTGTGGCCATCCACAAAGTGGGAAGGTTGTCCGTTAGTATGTATCTGAATGGAAAAAATATGTGTTAAAAACAAATAATTTTATCATAACATTGCAGACAGTGGCAAATGTTACATAACCTTTGCCTCTGAAAAATTCTGAAAAGCTCTCTGAATCATTGTAGTGTTACCAGACCTTGAGTGAGTGAGTGAGTGAATGGGTGGGTGTGTGGTTGTGAGGGTGTGTGGGTGTGTGGGTGTGTGGGTTTAGTTTCATGCCGCTTTTAGCATTATTCCAGCAATATCATGGTGGGGGACACCAGAAATGGGCTTCACACACCTTCAGACAGCAAATTTGTACAGTGAATGACCTTGGATAGGTAATGATTATGAAAATATCCTCAGCACTTGCTGGAATCAAATACAATGTTCCCAAAATTTTACTTCTTTTATCAACATCCATCTGAATCAAAGTAGGGCTGGCTTATTGCCTCTGTATCAAGTATAAGGAAGAAGTGAAGCAAGTCTTAGATGTTTCCTGGTTTGCTGAAACCACAAAAATGGCTTAACTCAAGTGTGACACACCATGTTTCCACACACCGAAGGTCAGTCCAGTTCTTTAACAAACTGACCATACCGATGAAGATACAAGTTAGAATTGGTCTTCTGTAACCCATGCTTGGTGAAAGAGGCAACTAAGGGGATCGGGTGGTCACACTTGCTGAGTTGGTCGATGCATGTCATCAAATCCCAGTTGAGATCGATGCTCATGACGGCAATCACTGGATTGTCTGGTCCAGGCTCAATTATTTACAGAACGCCGCCATATAGCTGGAATATTGCTGAGTGTGGCTTAAACAACATACAAAGCAGCTAGAAACATAGTCTGGGACAGTCACAGATGTTTCCTTCTTTGTTGAGCATGGGTATGGTCCCAACTTAGCTAGAAACATGGCCAGTAAGAATCTTCGACAAAATCTTTTGACAAAAGGTCACTAGTCTCTGTCACACCCAAGGGAAGCAGCTCTGCACAAACAATTCCTGTGCTTGAGGACTGGGCCAACCAGGCTTTGTAACACTACATGTAGTGACCCTTTTGACTGTGAAACTCAACGTAGCATTGCAGCAATGAATGTCAGACAAACTCATTGAATGGGGTGAAACGGTATGCTGTTACCACAGTACGGTACGTATTGCAGTACAAGGGGTTCGGTTCGGTCCACCTCGGTATACGAGAACTTACATCCTTGAAAGTAGTGGCTGTCTAGCAAAGAAATGCATAGATTTTTGACAAAATGATTCGATTTCTCGACATAATAGAATTTTTTTTTTAAAGGTTAATAAAATAACGGTAGGCAAACCGAAAAGACCAACTTTTTGGATTGCATTACGGTATACCAAACCAAAGGGAAAATACTGATGTTCTTCAAATACAGCGGTATGCCATTGCACCCGTCAAGAAACAACCTTTCTGTATAAGTTACTATAACACCTTACTTGCCAGCTGTATCCTGATCGTTTAGGAGGTTCTTCACTGGTGATGATGTCTCCCTCGTATGGGCCGAAGCAGGTGCGTGGCACAAAGTCCTGATATGCCCAAACTCCAAGACCAGCTCCTGGAATCCCAGATTCCTCAATCTCAAGACCAACAGGCAAAGTTTTCCAAGCCCTGTCTACACTTCCTGGTCTTTCCTGGAATATTAAATTTACAGGATTTGTTCCTTGTCAACTACCAGAGCATGTAACTATCAAATCAGTATTGGATAATCATCAACATTTGAAAGAAATATTTGAAGAATTGAAAATGGATGCTAATAATGAGCTTCACACTCATTGGTTGAAAATGTGAAACTAATCATGTCAGATGAATGAAACCAGAGGCTGAATAACACTGACCTTAACCAACTGTTGATAACTTGAGCAAACACTCAGTCTAAGTAAACTTAGGCTCAGTATTATTCGTTACACTGCTATACTGAGTCTAACAAACCCTCGTAGAAGGTCGCATCAGCTAACCTTTGAGCGACCTATGACTGTCCAATCAAACACAAGACGGCCGAACATATTTAACCAATCAGATAACGACTACTTGTTAGGGTTCCTCGGGACTTAAAACAGTTTATGGATTTTCTCTTCCCTGGTTGCTGACACTGATCTCTCAACAAATGAAAATCCGCAATAAACACAGATATTTGACCTGCAGTATATATGCTTAGGGGTTTCTAATGACATGGCTTACATTTCTGCAAGAATATTGAACATTGACAAAAGTGCTATTTTCAACGACTGTTTAATCATTGCTTCTTCCATGTGTATCACTCAGGAGCGATCATGCGGAAAATAGTATTTGGAATCATTTGATTTTTTTAGGTAAAGGTTCAAATGGTATGTGCGAATGTTAACTTTTGCGATTTGGTAAGATGTGTTCTGATTGGTCAGTCCAAAAGGTTAGCTGACCTTCTACTAGGATTTGTTAGACTCAGTATAGCAGTGTAACGAGTTGATAATCTGATAGGTTATGATTTGTCCTTCTTTTAATAGATTATAACATCATATATCTAAGAGACAGATAATATGGTGGAACTTTTATGGAGAAGCATGTGAATGTGAATGACAACCCCTCAAAAGTTTATGAACAAAGACACCCCCCCTGCTTGTCATGCACAAAAGCACAAAATCAGTGACGCACTCCATAGTACATGTGTACAAAATTGATTACCCTAACAACCCCCCACCCCCGAAATGTGGCATTCATTGCAATAAGGAAGTTGACTATCCATAGAACTTGGTTTTCCTACTTCTAAAATGACTCTTAAAGAAATCATATATCCATATGAAAGTATCTTTTACATAGATGTTAGCAGAATCATCGACATAAACATTTCACCTCTGTAGACAAATGATATTTTTTCCGACTGTGTCACAAATGCAATTCCACTGAATATGATGAGATCCTCTATGGAAGTCCACTTATTAACACAATGAAGATGAGTGTACCTTGACATCTGTAACCATGAGGAGAGGTCCATGTACTGAACAGTCCCCTTCGTACTCAATGTTGCAGTCTTCGCAATCTGAGGAACACAAACACACTAGTGACAGTTTGACAGCACACACAGATAAGACAAGAGATATTAAGCACCATTTTGTGGTAATACTGAGGGGTGATTGATATGTTCTGAGCCTCCACATAAAAAGTTTGACTTGACATGAAGACATATTTTTCAAAATCATGCCCTTCCACACTGATACCAGTTTACTGAGGCCAAATAAAAAAAAATGTTGTGGTTCCGATTACACCTCTTTAAAATTTAGGGTAGGTAGGTAGGAAGGAATTTTTGTTTACATTTCTTTTAGAAGTAAAGTACTAACTAATAACACATTTATCAATGTGTAATTGTTTATTCAATCAAGCTTGTGGCCATCATGTTGACTTTCAGACATCAGAATGACCGATGTCCGTTGGTGCCGGGAAAAAACAATGGTATCTGAAAACTTATTTTATTCATACCTCGTAAAAAAACTAGGGTCGGCACCAGAATTCAAGGGTCGGTGGGGTAATTGGAACCACAACATTTTTTTTTAGGCCTGACCATGTCAGGGGGACTTTACCCCAGTTTCATTTAGTGCCTTCTCTGGGCTGTTTCAAAAGTTTTCCACAGCTGCAAAGACATCAGCATTCGAGTTGAGATATGTTTCTTGAACTTGATCAGAATAGTGTGTGAATGGGCATGGCAATTCTTCTTTGAGAAAATGTTTTCCTGAGAAAACTCTTTCACTGTATGTTTTTTTATACCTAGACATGCTACTTACACAAAAGACTGTCGTCAGTTGCAACCTCCACATCCATGTAGTTATTCCGGAGTCTCTCGCACTCTACTGGACGTGAGCTTTCTCCATATGGCTCCTGTTTCATCAGAAATTCAGACACTGCAGGAAAACCTACTTGATCTAAAGTTACCAGATATTTTGGACAAGCCCTCCCTCGACAATCTGCAGGGTATACATACTGACAAATCTGCACTAGTACCCTGGATGCTTCAACGGCTCAGCCCGACAATTGTAGAGATCTAACCATCCCTCTATTAATCAATAGTGATCAGGGTTTTACATTCACTCACAAACATGCAGGTGCCGGAGACCCCTATTTATTAGTTTTAAGGGTCCTACACCAGTGTTTGCAATACTTTAATTTGCCAGTTGGCCATCAGGGTTGTTGCCGCCTGCAGGCTTTAAAACCTACATGCCCTGAATGAAATCTGCAGGCCCATTTTGTTGAAGTCAAACCAATAAAAACAAAATAGACTACACTGTACACAGTTCCACCCAGTTTCTACAAAATCAATTAGTGAAGCCTATGGTGCAGAGAAAAGTTTTTATTTGTTAAATACTGGGGTTGACATTCCTATGCGCAATGTGCTGAAATATCAGGAAGTGACGCTGTAAGTTATCATAACATGACGGATCATGGATGATTCCCAAAAGTTAATAAAGAAAAAAATATGGAAAAGATTCCAGTTCAATAAAATGACTGTTCAACAATTTACTGAAGGTCACAAGGGCCTGCAAATATTTGAAACTGCCGGCCCGATACAATATCAGGGACCTGTGAAGTAACAGTATACATTTGATAATTTCTTTAGAGCCTGGAATGAATCATTGATCATGTGGACTGATGGATGAAATGATGCACGTACCTGCTCTGACAGAAACAACCAAACACATCGCAAAGTCCTAGATGTGTTGTGGGTACAATGAATAATATTGTGCGTCCCTCTGTACGCAGTGAATTGTTTTTCTGTGTCCATTCTCTACATTTCTGAGTACTGGATGCACATTTGCGTGTCACGTAAATCCCTGAATGATATTTGTCATGTTTCAATGCCTCAGATAAAACTGAAACACCTGCAACAGTGACTGGAAGCATTTCTTTCGTGACTAGTCTGACATTCCCTCCTGGATTCCGTGACAAATTTCTAAGAATTCCACGGCAAATTTAAATAGATTCTGCAAAATATTCTACAGTTAAAAACTTGAAGAAAAAAAACACACAAAATAATGCAATTTCAATCTTCAAAAAAGATCGATTTTGTGAACATAATTGCAGTGTCAAATTCATATAATATTATTTTAAGGACTGGTGCTGAAGAAAATATTACCTCATGATAAAGTCATCTTTTTTTGTGAATTTTTTGAAAATATCGTTATAACAAATTTCTCAGTTCATTTTTGTGTAACCAATCATAGTTTTGACATCTACCCCTACTTTTCGTTTCGGTTGATGGTCAATCTTGATTCAACATTCAAAATAAGTAAATTCCACAGTAGAAAAATGGTACATTCTGCATGTATTCTGCATGAAATTCCGCGGACCAGACGTTTTTCTGCATCAAAAGGTAATTTCTGCAATTTATTCTGCAACCGCGGAATCGCGGAATCCAGGAGGGACTGGTCTTACAAGCAGTAAAAATATGTCTGGCCTCAAAATATACTAAATATAAAGATACTTACATGGACGTCCATCTTAAAGTGTGACTCCCTACAACAGTAGCAAACAGCTATTTTTAGATCTGAAAGAAAAGTAATGATGCAGACTTTGGTAAAGAAAATCAGGCCACAACAAATTAAATACTGTTGGTAAAAATATCACACTGACGTCAAGATATATATCAACATGCATTGTTCGCACAGGGTAAGGGACAGTGGGACAGCCTAGTGGTTAAAGTATTCGCTTGTCATGTGGAGGAGTGAGAGAATGAGTGAGTTTAGTTCTAAACCGCACTCAGCAATATTCAGGCTATATGGCGACCAGACAATCAAGTGATCAACAGCATGAGCATCGATCTGCGCAAACTGGGAACCGATGACATGTGTCAACACCAAGTCAGCGAGCCTGACCACCCGATCCTGTTATGGAGGACCTGGGTTCTATTTTACAAATGGGTACAATGTGTGAAGCCCATTTCTGGTATCTCCCGCTGTGATGTTGCTGGAATATTGCCGTAAGTGACATTAAAACTTACTCACTCACTGGTACAGGGAACAGGATGAATGAACATATAATAGTTAAGAGTGAACGGTTCAGGATGTATTCTCAAGGGTGGGTTATACTGGTCACATCTGATCACTGATATCTAGAGTTTGAAAACAACCAGTCCCTCATGGATTTTCACTTGTCTTGGGCTAAGAGTCTTATGGCTGTGTCTAACACAGTGATTCTAATGATTCTAGTCGGTTGGTTGGTGTTTAACATCGGACTCAGCAATATTCAGGCTATATGGCGGCAGTCTGCAAATAATCGAGTCTGGACCAGACAATCCACTGATCAACAGCATGTGTGAGTCAGTGAATATGGTTTTACCCTGCTTTGAGCAATATTCCAGCAATATCATGGCAGGGGACACCAGAAATGGGCTTGACACATTGTAGCCATGTGAGGAATTGAACCCCGGGTCTTCAGCATGACAAGCGAACGCTTTAACCAGTAGGCTACCCCACCGACCCTGAACAGCACGAGCATCATACTACGCAACTGAGATAAGTTGATACATGTCAACCATGTCAACGAGTCTGACCACCCGATCCTGATAGTCACCTGTTATGACAAGCATGGGTTCTAACTTGGATCTTCTTGAGCGTGTTCCAAGGAGGTCCGTGGACGGAAAAGGCTGAAATTCAGCATGACGCACAGAAGAGCAGCACACAAGTTACATCCTGCTTTCCCAAACTGGTATGGTAGTGGGTCTCTCATGTGTGCCAAGCAACTTGCTTCCTGAAATGCTTCCTCACATTCATTGTACCAGTTAGGACCAGTCAGGTGGTGTGGGGTAGCCTTGTGGTTAAAGTGTTCACTCGCCACGCCGAAGCACAGGCCCTCATGTCTTTGCGAAGATTAAAGATTAAAAAAAATTATTTTTTTTAGATGACCCCCAACTTGAAATGCTATGCTTGAAATACAGTGATCAACAGCATGAGCATCAATCTACCAACTGGGATGCGATGAGAGGTCTCAACCACATGAGTGAGGCTGATCAGCTGATCCCGTTAGTCAAGCCTCTTACAACAAGCATGGGTTACTGAAGATCAATTCTAACCCGGATCTTCATGAGTCTAACAATGATTCTAATTTCCAAATATAGTCACGCTCCCAGGTGATTATTTCTTCTCAGTTTCATCGTTTTCTCCTCTTGCTCCTTTGGATTCACTTTCAAGCATTAGACAACTGTCACTATAAGTCCACTGGGTATATATCCATTATTCTCAATATATCACAACTGGGGAAGGGATCAGTTTGACAACATACAATGGCATCATTTTTTGTCTTTTAGGCATCCTTTTTCGTTTCTAAATAAAGCCAATTTCATTAAAATCAGACCTTTAACTTGGATACAATATCTCTCTGAGTGAAGAGTGAGTGATTAGTTAGTTTAGTTTTTAGCTTTTAGCAATCTTCCAGCAATATCACAATGTGGGACACCAGAAATAGGCTTCACATTTTGTGAAGTGAGGTGAAATTCAGTTTAACGCTGTGCTTGAGAATATTTTGCGCATTTGATGATGTGCATGCATGTGTATGTGTATGTGCGGCTGATTGTACTAGCCCAGACTGAAGCTGGTTTTATAGTGCTAGCCCACTGAGATATCATGCCGCAGTGAGACATGAATACCCTACTCAGACACATTATACTGACTCCGAGCCGACCAGTCCTTGTTGTACCCATTAATGCCGGGCGCCAGGCAGGGGCCAACAAGTACCATATTTTAACGTCTTTTGGTATGACGTGGTCCGGGGTTCGAACCCGCCACCTTCCGCTCTCCAGGCGGATGCTCTAACCACTACACCGTGGAGACTGTCCTTCACATTTTGTACATATGTGGGGAATCGAACCCGGGTGTTTGATTAATTGTACCCATTGACTGCCCAATCAGATTAGACACGAGAGGACTTTGGGCCAATTAGATGATGGCTTTCTTGAACGCACTAACATCACATTTCTTTCTCACATCAATTTAGATATTTCAATGTTATCAAAGGAAAACCAACGCAGGGCAAATATTCCCTTTCAGATTTGTTGTGTTTGTTGTTTCATAATAATTTTGCTATGTGGCCCAGACAATCCAGTGATCAACAACATATGCATCGATCTACACAATCGGGATAGGATCATGTGTCGACCAAGTCAGCAAGCCTGACCGACCGATCCCCTTAGTCACCTTTACAAGCAGCATTGGTTGCTAAAGACCAAGTCTAACCCCGGATGTTCACAGGTATCCCTTTCAGGTGTTTACCTCAGGAACAGAGTGTATAAAATATCAACGACAAAATGGTGCAGAGATATTTGTGACAATTTGGGAAAGTTTCTCAGTCTCACACACTTTAACACACAAAAAGTTGACAAACAGAAGAGTTATCTCCCTTACACTTTTTAGCCCTTTATCAGCCAGAAAAGTAAGTCCTTATCAACTGAGTTGTCTTATACAGGTAAGTCCACTGTTTGTGCGTGGTATGATACTATAGTGCATTCAATGATGAGTGCTTGGGTCTAAAGAACATAGATCCTTGTAAAGGTGTTTCTGGTTGAATGCACACATATTACGTATCATTCCAACATGTTCCAATCTCTGATCAAAAACAGGTTGTTGCATATTATCAATGTTTTCCTGCTTTATTTGAGTTATCAAGGGTACAGTAACAGAGTAAGCTGCATGTCAACCTGACACCTTTACAGATTCTACCTTCCTTCATATACCCTATCTGTATACACTTTTGTAGACCGTGCCTCACCTAGGTAACATATTCTTAATGATGCACTGTGATCAGATGAACAGGAACTATAACATGAACTGGTTTTGGGTTGAGGAATATGGACTCGTCTGCCATTTAGAGTACCTTGTTTTACTTGTAATTTGACTTTGTTTACAGAATATTTGTGCATTCAAAAACACACCTGGGGTACATATCTATTAATCTATATTATTCATGCTGACCACTACCCCCTTCAGTGTTAGTAACAATGTCTACGCAAGCATTTTCTAAAAGTATCTTACTTAACAACAATGAAGACATATTATTCAAATATAACAAGATTTGTTTTAAAGTTGCTATTCAAGAAGGTCTTTACAAGTTTACGTTGAAACAACGAGAATTCAACTGAAACTTGATAAGGCATTTCCAAACAGTGTTGTCCGAATGGTTCTTTTTCGTTGGAAATGAAAGAGTCTTGTCCATATATTTTGGAAATTTTAACGTTTAATTGTTGGGACTAACACTAAAATCAAGAAACAGCCATAGAAGAGATCAGACCAACAGACGTGACAACAACGCGACCTATGGGTTTAAGAGAGACCTTATATGTAAATTAACATACGGTCAGAATTTGGCTCCCATTGAAGTGCTTTTCCCTTGTTGTTTCCGTTATTTCATCGTTGTTACAGTAAATGTTTTCACAGCGTCGTTGTCTCTTTCCCTTTACTTTGTGTCGAATCCTCTTCCGGTACTAACGTTGTCAAGAGTTTACTCCTTTCAGTCATCTGCCGATCAGTGTGAGGAGTTTGTACAAGGCCCTTCAAGACTAAACTGGTTCCCGGCTCCCTTTGCGCGCTCTAGCTTGCGCATATTGCGATATGCGAGACGGGGCCCAGCTTACTTCAAGACTGGTTCCCGCAACCATCGACCTTCCTCTCACTGACAGCTGTGCTGGGTCAGAGCGACCTCTTAGTTACACAGACATATTTTTCAAAACAACAAAGCAGACAAACCATAGATCTATTTCCCTTACATCTGCCGACTCTAGTATTTTATATCTGATTAGGTCAGATGTGATACTCGGTATATTTTGTTACTCAAGGTGTGAAGTGTGAAGTTCTGAGAAGTCTTCATTAATGTGAGTTTACTCTCCCGACCCCAACCACCCCATCGCCACCTACAATTATTTACATTTGATATTTGCAAACTTGATATTTGCAAACCATGAATTGCTGCAATCAAGCGGATATAGAGATGGCAAGACTTTATGGATGATCAACTTTTTTTGACAATGGCGACGTTTCGGTATAGATTCTTATACCGTGTTCAAACATATGAACTTTATGGATGATCAACTTCTTTTTTTTACCCCTGCCGTGATATTGCTGGAATATTGCTGAAAGCGGCGTAAAACCAAACTCACTCACTCACTCACTTTATTTTGACAATGGCGACGTTTCGGTATAGATTCGTATACCTTTTTCAAGCATATGAATATATATGGTATAAAATATATGGTTTTGGTATAGATTCGTATACCGTTTTCAAGCATATGCAAATATATGCTTGAAAAAGGTATAAGAATCTATACCGAAACGTCACCATTGTTAAAATAAAGTTTTGTCATCTCTATAACACATCTCACAAATTATGTAGTTCAAAACAAAAACACCTTTTCCATAAATATTCAAATGTACAAACAGTTACATCCTACATACATCAAAATGGCGGTCTCTATACGGCTCATTCTCGTTTGTTGCGACCAGAACTGGGATACGACCAGAACTGGGATAACTAATATGGAGAATTATACGTCCTACTGTCAACTATGTATTTAATCGACAAACAATTATTAAGATCAAAATCAGCTGCACAACTCGTGTCCTTTATTTTAACTACTGATTGCTAAAAATGCCAATGTCAGCGCTCCATAGTCGATGTCCGCCATAATAGCTAAATATAGCAGCGCAAAAAATGTAGAAACGTGAAACTGAAACGAAATAGAATTCATTTTCATACGCTTTACTCTAATTACTCTACTAGCTTAAAATAAGTGATGTTCCTGGTTGTGGATGCTGAATTTAGGTGTCAGGTGTTTTTCATTCATTTTGTATTCATAACGGTTCATTCATTCCCAGAAATGGTTACTACTCAACTTGAAATATGACTTTCTTGCAATATCTAATGATATTTTAAAATATAGCTAATTATTCCTTTTAACAATATATGTGTATGCCCACAAATAGAACCAGAAAATATATGATGTGAATGGTATTGGATTTTTGTTTTATAGTTTAATAATTATGCTAATATTTGTAAAAATATAGTAAGTTGTATCTAAATATCGGCCAGCCTAGCCATTTTTGCATACAGTAAATAGTTTCTTTTAAAGTAAGAACGGGGAATAAAAGAAAATTAAATTATGTCATAATTATTTTTTTAATGATGTTACATCCATTTTTGATGGGTATGTAAGTATAACAGTTAGAGTTTGTTTTGGGGATTTAAGACTTCTAAGTTATTTGTGTTATGCCATTTGTGAGAGTATATAAGAGATTGGTATGTTGCTTGGTCATACTTTTCAGAAAATATTACTTTTGAAATACTCGAAAAATATACAGGTTCATGTACACATTCATGACACTGTAAAAAGAGTGGTGATCTATTATTTATAATGGTAGGGTGTATTCAGTAACATCACCATCACACATAATACTACGCTGATAATGCTGAGTTAAAGGTCCAGTTAAAGTTCTCATCCCCAAAAGTTCACATGGCCCCCCTAAGCAGTTAGTGGCTCCCTTTTTTATAACATGTTTAGCCTCCAAGTAATGTTGTGTTAATATTACTGCTATTACCATATAAGATTTGCCAGTAATGATCATTTATAGCTTTCATCATTATTGTGTACATGGAAGCTGTTTGTAACAGACACCAGACATACAAGGCATAATTACTTCAGAATGAAAAAAGTGGGAGAGTTTGTGCCCCATCTCAGAAGGCTAAAGTTATAACTTTGAAGAAAAATGATGGTGTAGAAATTATCCAAAAACATTTCTTTAATGTTCCTTTGAAAATCCCCTTCCTGGTCAGCTTGATATAAATGGGAAATTCACTGAGCCCTTCATAGCAGCTTGAACTTGTTATTCCATGCATTGTCATTAATAACCTTATATTTGCTGAACTAATTCGCGGTTAGAGTTGTCCCCCCCTTCACTATTTGCTTGAAAGGGTCATCTGCTCATTGTGTTAGAAGGCCAAGCAGCTGAAGCTTCTTTGATGACATATTGTTACTGAGATGAAACTGTCAAGGTAAATGATGCCTTCATATTTACTGTTTTGTGTGTAATTTTCCCCAGAAACCAATGCTACCTGATGTGGATATGGTTGTCAGGCTCAATGACTTAGTCACTGTCTAGCATCAAGTCTCAATGATTGCATGTGTGGATGCTTATGATCTCAATAACTGGATTGTCTGGTACAAACTCAGTTATTTACAGATATCATGTAGCTAGAATATTGCGTAGCAACAAACAACAAACTAACGAAAACAATTTATGCCAGCTTTGGATTAGGGAAATTGTGTGATAAATGTAGTCAAGGAAATTAAAACATGCAATATTGCCCCACTACTTTTAGATTTTGCCCATAAGTATGAAGTATAAGAACCCAAAAGAAAATAATAAATTCCATTAAAATATAGATTTTAAACTTGTTCCACTTCAAACACTTTTGGTTGAGGGAATATAAGTAATACTATTAAACAAATCTCTTAAAGTTAGTACTGTAGATCAGCCCAGTGTGCTCATAAATATGAAGTGTGATTTGCTATGAGCAGCCAAAATGAAATCAGAAGATTCCATTGATTGTAATTTTATGGTGTTAACCCTCATCTGGTTGAATCTGTATGTATTATACTAATATTGTACAGATTCTCTGAAAATAAGAGATATTGTCCTGTTCAAGATTCAGCCAACAATTTTTAAATGTCAGATTATTCTGTTAGTATTAGACTTAGGAGACATTATCCCTCTCCTGGTCAAAGGCATACAGGATTAAATCAAGTTAACTCTCTTAAAGTTGTACTAAGTAATGGCCTATTTGCTTTCATAGTCTGCTTTCTACATGTCTGAAATATGATCTACTATCATCAGATTTTAAAGTTGTTTTCCTTTATCTAATTAAGGGCATATGAATAGTAAAAAATAGTTTAAAAATCTCTAAACATTGGCAATATTGACCTGTTGCATGTAGACTCTGTTTCACAAGTTTCACATATGACTAAATACTATCAACAGCCAAGAGGAATCTTTAGATTCGATAACTGTAATGTTTTAGTCAACTTTACTCAAGCAGATATTGTCACAACAAGGAATAAGAACGCCATAATAACTTTACCAGATAGATATAACATGAACCTAACAGTTTACACACTCACACCCATTCAGCTTGAGTCAAATAACTATCACCCTTCAAGGGCATCACACACAGCACACAGTTTAGACACAAATCAAACGTTGCACAATCACTGTTTCCCTCAAAATACTAAATGTTACTACATGCAAATCACTAATACATTAATAGTGTGCTAACAATCAATCCTTCTCATACAATACATCCAACTGTAGATTTTTAGGCATATTCCCACTCTTGGTTAAGGACATGTGAGTATCATTATTACTATTGCATTATTAATGCTACACTATTATTTCATTCAGAATTTGCTGACAAGTTGGAATTGTTATTTACCACTATAAGCTCAGATGAAATCTTGAAATTCCATAAACTGTAAGTTTTAAAGGCTTTATCCCACTTCGGGCAAAGGGCATGTCATTCATGATAACAGTTAAAAGTCTCTGAAAATAAGAACTATTGACCCAGTTCATTCCTAATTTGCTCACAGGTTTGAAATGTTATTCAATATCATCAGCCAAGATACCATTTTGAAATTGAATAAACTGTAGGTTTAAAGACATTATCCTACTTCTGCTCAAAGGCACGTGATTGATAATAATAGTTGAATATCTCTCAAAATTTGAACTATTGACCCAGTACATTAATATTTTACTTGTAGGTTTGAAATACTATTTACTATCATCAGGCAAGATAACATCTTGAAATCCCTTAAACTGTAGGTTTTAAAGGCATTATCCCCCTTCTGGTTAAATGTAAGTGATTAATAATACCAGTAATAGGTAAAAATCTCTGAACATTTGTATTATAGACCCAGTACATTCATAATTTACTTGTAAGTTTGAAATGCTATTTACAATCATCAGCCCAGATAACATCTTGAAATTCCTTCAACTGTAGGTTTTAAAGGCATTATCCCACTTCTGGTCAAATGTATGTGATAAATAATAATAGTTAAAAATCTCTGAACATTTGAATTAGTGACCCAGTCCATTAATAATTTACATGTAGGTTTGAAATGCTATTTACTATCATCAACCAAGAAAACTTCTTGAAATTCCATAAACTGTAGGTTTTAAAGGCATTATCCCACTTCTGGTCAAAGGCACTCGATTAATAATAATAGTTAAAAATATCTATAAAATAGAATTATAGACCTAGTACATTCATAATTTGCTCACAGGTTTGAAATGCTAATCTATATCATCAGCCCAGACAGCTTCTTGAAATTCCATAAACTGTAGGTTTTAAAGACATTATCCCACTTCTGGTCAAAGGCACGTGATTAATAATAATAGTTAAAAATCTCTGTAAAATAGAATTATAGACCCAGTACATTCATAAGTTGCT